GTGTAGCAGCTAGAGGAGAGAATTAACAATCAGATCTTGGGGGTTAAAGGGTTAAGTTCCCAGGTGATGATGGGAAGGTACACTTGTTCTGACAGGTGAAACATTGCAAGAATTTCTTCTTATGACTATTAACCGACAATTCAAGGTGATAATGACAATCAGGCCCAAATCTGCTAGTTTATATCTCATTGTCCTTGGAGGGTGTCGCTCTTGCGGTGACGAAAAAAAATCTAATTCATAAGATTTCAAGGGGTGTCGCTCAAAGACGCGGTTAACGAGGTGTTTGGGGGCTATTTTACAGATTGAGATTGAAGAATAACAGACCAAGGTTGACCGTTTATATGAATCTTTAATCTTGCAAGTAATTGACCACGAACCACAATCAACGATCAAAATCACGATCAATCTCGCAATCAATCAATCAATCAGTCGTAGACTGAAACAATAGGACATCAGAGCTCTATCAATCTAATGAAATGTTACGAAATACACAATCAAAAATCGCGTGTAAAAACTGGGCCTTAACGCTGATAACGATATTAAAATGATAATGGACCCTACAAGTAAACCAATACAAACTCCGATAAGTACAATAGTTTCGGTACAAAAATTACAAGACATTTGGTGGCAGGTTAACAGCCCATCGTTCTTATCGAAATGGTGGGCGTTCACTTGCATCGCATTCACTTGCATCTGATACAATTTTGGCCTTTAAATCTCGAATCAATTGATAATACGGCAAAACAACAACAAAATATCTGTTTGTATACTTTCGCCCAATGCTGGAAAACTAAACTTAGAAAAACAAAGTGACAAAGGTACACATGTATTGGTCCTGCTTGTGCCAAAGGTTCAAGAAACGAAAAGACGAAAGTTCACAAATACTACTCAAAAACTTATGAAGAACTGATTACAGAGACACTAAACTCGCTTTTATATGCGCGTGGTGACGCTGAAAGGTCCGATTACAAAACCAGTAGAAATATAGACAAACAGACAAACATTGTAACTCTCTTCGTATCTAGGACCATTCTGAAATTATTAAACTAATCAATAATCAATTAAATAAAAATGAGTCATCTGGCTAGGTGTCCTTAACAAAGGGGACAAACCTTTGGAAAAAAAGAAGACAAAAGAGGAGGTAGATGATACCCATTCATCTTGTAAATTTATATTCACCAAAAAATTAGTTTCAGTTGTCAGATTTTTTGGATAATCACAAACTCCTAATTATATAATTAACTTCTCTTTGATATATGGCATAAATTGTGGATTTCTGTTTAAAATACAAGTTTATTTTATTGAAAGTTCTTGTAAACTTTGACTTCCATGACTGTTACTCACTTTTTACCTGTCCAGATATTCCAAAGAATGACAGAGATTATTTTAGGTATAGACGAAGGATCAAATACGGTAAGAATACATTATGTACACTTCAAAGTTTATAATATGCTGCATGCATAAAGTTTTGCAGTTTTCATAATTTGCATGTTGTTAGACTTGCTAGTAGGCAAAGCCATGAACATGGCATGTAAAAAAATTGCACTCCAGAGCCCAAACTAAGTGCAAAGTACAATTTTAAGATTGAGGATTTCCAACTGAAAGTAAAGGCTTTCTTAAATTCTTCTATAGATGTAAGCTGTGAATTTGAAGAGAAGTCTTCATTTTTTTTTTATTTTTTTTTTTTTTGGCCTTTGAATTCAGTATTACACAGTGAGACCACTTTCTTCCATCACGACTGCACTGAGATAAACCTGTTTGATTGGAGTTCTTCCTTGTGCCCCTCTAAAATTCAGGCATAGTTAAGGATATTTAGTGTTTTCCAACCTAGGGAGCTCATAGACACTGTACCAACAGGGTTGTAGATAAGAGCCGGCAGCCGGCGAAGGACGCCGGCTTCTCCACAAGGTTTCGCCGGCTACTTTCATTGCTTCGAGAACCCGTACAGAGATGATGTTTATCAGGTCTAAACTTGTGCTCAATAAAAATATAAATTTGCACTGCCTATCTTTTCTGAAAACATAAAAAGACTTCTGACTCAAGTTTAGTTTAAAAACGTTCTGATGGGGACTGTCTTTTTGACAAATCTTGCTACGGTGGCAGGAATACGAACGATATGACGTTTTGTCCGCCATATTGGATTTCGAGACCCACAACCGTTTACCTTTAAAAAGCTCCGGCTACTTAAAACCTTAAAGAAAACCCCGACCAAATGTGTCTCCAGGTACAAGCGTTATAATATTAATGACTGAAATGACACCTGAGTAGTGTCCAGAATCCAGAGTTTAGCTGATTTAGCAGCCTTCAATAGTCCTCCACTGAAGTTAATCGTTATTTTGTACTCAAACCTTGCAAGTATCATGCCTCAGGAAAATTCTCTTGAACCTGGTGTGTTTTCTTGATATAAGAGAATAAGCAATTTTGAATGATGTAAATGAAGATGGTAAATTTTAAGCCTGGTTAGTTTGGTGAAAGATGATGTTATTCATAGAGTGACTTATGTATATTCGGAAAAAAAACTTAGAGTGCTTCCATTAGGTCTTGACCCAACGACTTTCTGATTGGTACTTCAGATGCTCTTCCACTGAGGTAGAGGTCCATGGTTACGTGTCTACAAACAATTAAATTATTGGGACAAATATGCTTTTATTTATTTATTTGTTTATTTGTGTTTATTTTTCTCTTTATACGTTTTTATGTATTAATTTAATGTTTATTTTATTGTTATTCTTTTTTAATATTATGATGTTTTTAATTATTTTTAGCTTCACTTTTGTCTCTTTTCAGTATAATGACCGAAAATCTGGAGCAGGAGATTCTGGAAACTACAATGGAAGAGTAGAACAGAAGGGATTCTGTAGTTTTTTGTGATAATAGTATCTGCTTGTAATGAGTGTATTACGACAAAAATTTTTTCAAGCACAAAGCAAATTCAAACATTAAAAAAAGAAATTAGTTGAAAGGTATTGATCTAACTTCAAGCTTTGAATCGAATGAGCTCTATTTAATTTTCATATCGTTAATTCTCGCTGAGATCATCGTCCAGCCTGATTTTCAAACAGTAGCGGGTCGCTCGCTCCGAACTCCCTCCTCTCTAAAGTAGTCTTTGAAAAGCTGATCGAGACTCAAATTGACTATCGTTGATCGTGAGAGCAAATTAGGAGCCGCTTGGAATCTGATAAAGGTGGACACGAGAGGGCTGATCTCGCGCTTGCTTCACAGGCTTCGTCGCTTAACAATCGAAAAACTGCGATGGGTAAATTTCATGAACCCTAAGCTATTGTTTTGTTTTTGGATAGATTAGGCTGGACGATTCTCAGTGAGGGGTGGGGTGACTTATTTTATGAAACAGTCAAACCAGGTGCACGAGTGTTCTTTTGGAAACCACTCTGTTTGGAAAATGACTTTATTAATAACACAAATGAATTCACTGTAAGTTGAGACCATGGATTGAACTTTGGGTTGAGAATATAAACAGGTTATGATCTCTTGATTTTGGTTATGAACAATTAGTCACAAAATTGCTGCCCATCATTCATTTTTAACATTTTCACGCTCAAGCTTAAACGAGGTCAGCGGACAGTTATCTGTGGTAGAAATGAAAAAAGTTTTACCTTTTTATCGTGACTCAACGAATTATCAAATGTAGTATACAGTGTAGACTTGTGTGATGGTTTTAGGTTTTTTGATAACGTTTACAGCACGTAAAGTTATACGGCAACCTCAAAGATAATATTTTCGGTGGGAAAGAGGAAGGAAATTTTATAGGAATCTTTTTTCAAGGCCCACGTCAAAGTGTTCAAGCAATGTTGCATTATTAGTGGTTTCCAAAGCAACGTTAGGGAAAATTTTGAAATTCACATCAAAAAATGAATAGTTAATTTCATGACTGCCTAATATATTTATCCTGTAAAAGCGGGACCTAAGAGAAGAATGAATTTAGGTGAAGCAGAAGGAAGGGCTACCTGTTAGGTGGAAGGAGAGGCGGTGAAGGGGGGGGGG